TCCACACCCTCCACAGTGACCTCCAGGAATGCCAGCTCAGCCCTTGGTGTCAGCTGACCACTTTGCAGCCAAGAGTGTGCTGCCTCTGAATCATGGTCAAACCACACCAGCCTACACCCATCAGCAGAGGACTGAGTGGCCACTGCGGGCGGGTGGACTGGATTCCCAAGAGCACTCGGAATGGGCCAGGAAGACAGCCCCACACGGAGCTAAGAGGAGAAGGAAGCAAACACTGCTGGGGCCCCACCTGAGGCCTGGAAAAGTCCCAGCTTTTCCTAACCTGGGAAGCACCAGGGTGTCTCTGCTGCTAAGATACTTCCTATCCCACCGTCTACATGCATGTTAATGGCTGTAATTGCAACCATTCCTACTTTTCACGTTATCAGCAGAGGTGTGTCCCCAAGTAGGCACCACCACCACCGAGGAACCTTGAGGGGATTCTACCTGAGTCAGTCACTCAGCCAAGCAATCTGCCCTCAAGGCTCTTCCAGATGTTTCCAGACCAAGTTGCTATGATTCCTCCCTGGAGTCTGGGGCCGACGGGAGAAAGAACAACCTAAGACGATGTCATCCAGGCTTCGAGGGATTTTTGTCTTACCCCAAGGTGGTTCAGAAGCTGTCGGGAAGGTCAGTCTCAGGAAGGTGTGTCATCCAGGGTGAGAGGCCCGTATTGGAAAAACTGAATGCCTGTATCCTTCAACATGGCAGGAAGTACCTGGGAGTAGTTTGCTTTAGTCCCCAGTGTGAAGCGAAGTCAGGTCATAGCCACTGGAAGGCACCAAGCACCCAGATACCAGGGATTTGTTCTGTAGCCACCACATGGGGAGAGTCTACACACATTTCACAAGCCTGCTAGCTGCACCCTAGTCCTATTAACCTGCAACTTGCTCCCAGAGCTGGGCCTAATATTCCCAGGACCCTTTGGAGGCCTTTCCTTCCATTTCACAGGGGGTGGAGCATCCCTGTCTGGAGCCCTGTGTCATCTTCCAGATGATTCAGAAGGTGTGAGACACGGAGGAGCAGCAGTTGGGCCATCATCATCATCAGGTTATCCTCCAGGTAAGAGAACTGCTGCTGAGGGTTAACAGGCCCTCATTCTGCCTGGTTACCCCCAAGGAGGCCCCTCCCTTTGGGGGAATCACTGCTAAAGGGTAAGTTAGGAATGGAGATGGCGTTGTCTCCTCAGTTCTAGCCAGGAGTGTTGATCCTCACTCTTCACCGGAACGAAAATCAACTGGAAAAACTAAAAGAGGTTCTAGAACATTCTACACTATGATAAGCTGGGCCACCCCCTCCACACCCACATGTCCCAGCAGAGAACTCATCTTGGCCCAGAACAACTCAGCTCCCACTCGTGACAAAACAGAGTCAAGATGCCTTACTCTGCACAGGGCGTGGATATGACAGGTGCTGGTCAGAGAGGGGCCTCAGGCACACTCGCCACATTGGGCACTATGGGCACCTGCATCTAGTGACCAGCACGTGAGGAAAGGACTCAGGGACAGCACAGAGGGGACCCCACATGTGGGTCCTGGAACAGTGCCAGCCAGAGGAAAGGGCTCCATTTTTCCACATTTTGGGGCCCTTTTTATTAGGACACATGCTTTTTGTAAAGCAAAGGTGGGTAATTATCCTTCACTATCCATCAGACTTATCAAGCTGATAGAAAATGGGCATGTATGCACACATATCACATTGCACTGTTCTATGGAAGGTGACACAGCTTGGGAGCCTTGTTTTCCGCAGAACTGAACCTGGAACGTCACTAGCTGGCTGTGCCACCCCGCCAGTGGGGACCCTCGGCCACCCCACTGCATGACTCATTCCTCTGGCTCCTGGCAGCCTCTCTTTGCCAAGTGCCAGTGGGGGTGTCACAGAAACATAACTAAACCACTCCCTTTCGATACCAACCCACACTCACGCCAGGTGTGCCTGGGCCTTCCTGTGAGCACAGGTGCTCCAAGAAACACCAGTGTAGGCCTTTCACGTCCAGCGGGTTCCTGATGACCCCTATCCCCAAGGAGAACTCCTGCCTTTCCTGTGCCAAGGAACACCAGGCAAGAACTCCCTGCGGCAAGTCGCCACCTGCAGACAACATGACAGGCAGAGCCGGCAGAGCCAGCACAGCAGCCCGGTCCCTCGCGGGGGCTGCGCTGTGCGGACATGGGAGCCCAGTGGGCTGACCTCAGACAAGTGCTGCCTGGTCATGGCCCCAGGTCTCTGGTCCTGGGGAGAGGCCCTTCTCTTGCCTGCAAGTCTGCCACTATCCAGGCCTCTCTGGCACTTCTGCTTTCCCCGGACCATGTGGCAGGACAGGATCCAGACATACTGGGGGTGGTGTGGGTGCACTTCCTGCAGTGGCACTTCCTTATGCTCCTAGTGGTCACGAGTTCAGGATGGGGCCACCCCACTATCGTGGCTTCCCTCTGGGCTCCACCCACACTCAGTGCCAGCCAATGCTGCCCAGTCACGTCTCTGCCGACGACACCTGAGCTCCTGTGTGCCAGACACAGTGAGGGACGTGGGCCAGGTCTAAAAGGGCCCATGGAGGGCCAAGGATGGGCACGGCCATACCTGTGGCTGTCTAGGTGGGTGTTGGGCTGCAGAGGAAAGGCAGGGAGTCGTTGGCCAGGTGCAGGCAGGGCTTTCAGTATGGCACAAATGTCAATTCAGCAAGTCCTCAGAACCCCTGCAGCCCTGGCCCCTTCATTTCAGACGAGACCGGGCGTGTTCAGGGTGGTATGACTGTACACTAACCCCTTCATTTCAGACAGGGAGACACTGAGGCAAAGGCAGCTCCCAGCCCTGTCTGGCCCTCCAACTCCACCAGGACATGCTCTCCCCAGCCCTGGGACCTCACCCAGCACTGGGACCTCACCCTGCACTGGGATCCTGACAACTCTCATGACAGCCTGACATCAGGCATGGGGTGGTGGGTGCCCCTAGGGAGGGAGTACCTCCCAGGAGAGCAGAAAACAAGATCGGACCTGGCCTGCTGTGGGTGACAAGGAAAAGCAGGATGCTCATCATTATGTTTGACCTTTCAGCGGCCTATGCCATACCCCTCGGGACTGGCTGGGCCCACCCAACCCAGCTCCATCCACCTTTTCATGCCCCTCACCCAGTCACTAGAAGCTCTGGGTCTGATACGTAGTCCAGGGAGGAGAGGGGAGGAAACACGCAGGGGACCCTGCGTGCATGTCTCCCTGTCTTAGGCCCAGGAAGCACCCACACCCAGGGCAGCCCCAGCTCTTCCGAGAAGACGATCGCCAACCAGGCACCTGACCATCTGACCGGGGCTGAAGGCAGTCCCTCTGCCAACCAGAAGTCACTCTCCAACCCAACGATGTTTGGAGGACCCCCCCCGCCCCCCCCACCGTCTGGTCCCTTTAGTCTTAGCCTTGCTCCTCCTGTGAGAGGCCAGGGAGACACACCTGGGGAGCAGAGTTCCCTGTCACCACAGCAAGAGCTTTCTGGGGCAGGAAGACAAGTGAGTCAGGTCACCAAGTGGCACCAGAGATGTGCTGACTCCTCACAGAGACTCCTGCAGTGACTTGATGAGCCAGGAAGCATTACACCATCATCTCCACTTCCCAGATAAGAACACCAAGGCTTGGAAACTTCCAGAAGCCACACTAGCAGAAGAGTCAGCGTCCAAAACCTGATGTCTGACCAGAGCCTGTTCCCAGCTCCTCAGGGCTAGAAAGCTGTATTTTCCCTCCTACATGGGAGACCCTGACCCAGGGGACTAGCAAGTCCCTCATAGGGCTCACTTACATCCAGCTTGTTATCAAAATCTCCAATTTGCTCCAAGTGAGGAGCCCAGCAGGCATTTTACAGGATGGAGATGCCCTCCACAGGAAATCTGGGAAGGTCGTGTTGACAATAAATGCAATATTGCTAATCAGGTCAGTCAAGAGTGCACCTTACTCATTTTTTTCCTGGCAGCTTTAAGAAAAAGCATGAAAATGAAATAAGTCATAGGAACTGAAGTCCACACAGTGGATGAAAGGCGACCAGTCTCATGGTTAGAGCCTGTGCCTTCCAGGGTTCTACTCAATGTCAAGCAAATGACAATGAAACCTGATTTAAAACTGTAAGTAAAAAACTTGTCTGAACATTTCCAAAGTTGCTGCTTCACCCTGACTTGTGGTCAGAAGGGGCACTGAGCAGCGGCTCTGTAGAAGATGCTCACATCCAGCTGCCCAGGACAGGCACTGAAAGTGACAGGGTTCTAGAAACATTTAAGTCACAGGGAGGGGGACTACTCAGAGGCACGACATATATCACAAAACCTCAGAACTGGAATTTTTTTTGCAATATTCTCAACTTGCAAACCAGAACTTGAAGCACCAGCTCCAGCTTGCCCAGCCTACCCTCACTCCCCAGCCCCCACCCCAAGAGATCCCTGGGAGTATCTTTCTTTTAATACACATAAAACATTGTGGGGGAGTAGCTCCTCAATGGTCAGTGGGAAACAATTTACTGCCCCCTGGGAGATGACTGCCACCTGGCTGCAAAGCCTGCATCCAGCACAGGAGCCCACCTGGCCAGAGGCAGGACCTGTGAACCATTGCTTCCCAGACCCAGAATAACCCCCGCAGAAGTTCTAGCTCACAGGTGAGTGCAGAGATGAGTGGGCCTTCCAGAAGAGCCTGACTAGCTCTGCCACACTGTTTCCTTGGCCTTAGCAATCCCACAGTTTCCAAAGGATGCCAGCTCAGGAATGTTTATCTCCAAATCACTTAAGAGTAAAGATGTATCACTCAAATGTGTGCCCATCAGGAACTGGCTAAGTAAGTTATATCATAGCACCCTGTGCAGGCAACACAAACCATCAAGTCGATACCTACCGACAAGTACAGACAAACGCAATACATTATTAAATGCAAGGAGACGATAAGACAGCACTTAGATGTAAGCTTATTCAGGTGGAAAAAAGGACTATTCACACCCAGAAGGGACATAGGTGGCACACACTCCAAGCACCCAGCACTCACCCTCGACTCCTGGATCCTGGCAGGATGGCACTACCTGCTTTTACAGGTGAGCTGGACGGTGCACTTGACCTCAGAATCGTGACCACCTATCAGAGGCAAAACAGGGGCAAAATGTGTGAGCAGTGCCCAGTGCTGGGCAGACCTTCAGGGACATCTTTAACTATCTTCTTTGCACTTTCCTGTATCTTCTAATTTCTTTACATTAGAAAATGCATTTTTCAGTATTTTTCTTTTTTCCCCAGTAGTTTTCTTACAAAACAATCATGTTCCCAAAGGTCAGCAGTTTCTCGATTCTCACTTGAGGACTTCTCAACCTGTACCCTCCAAGGACACCCCACAATGAAGGGGAAGCTGGACTGAGTCCCCCTAGGACACATTCCAGTCCTTCCATCCCTCAGTCAAATCAGGCCCCACACTTTCAGATCCCCAGCAAGGTTCTGGTTTCATGTCTTCACCCCTGTGGGATCTACCTTATTCATCCGCACACCTGTGCTGCCATGCGCTGTCAAGGTCTCACCTGTCCATTTATCCCCAAGAGAATACAAATCAGACCAGACAGCAGGCCCAGCTGCCCCATCTTGAGCTCTGGGCCCCTTACCAGTTGTGTGATCTGGACCAGCTTCTCAACCCCTCTGCCCTCGGTTTCTGAACTACATGATAGAGCAGACCTCAGTGTGTGGGTTGTATCTAACACCACTTAGCAACTGCCAATGTTAGCAGTGTTACTGACATTGGCCACAAATGGCCTGAACCACAAAGAACCTTTAACTTGCTCATCCAGTAGTTGTCTAACCCTGCAAAGAGACACAGCTGTTAACAAACCAACCCTTTCACATCGTGCTTCTTCTACAAGGACATGCCCCAAAGAAACTTATCAGAGAGAAGAGGAGCCTGTACTGAGCACCTGATGAAATCCACCTGTCTTTGCACCTCTGGAGGATCTGGTCTCACTCTCTGACTTTCGCATCCTGTTCTAAACAATATCACCCTACAGGATGGTACCTGCTTACCCTTGGGCACCTGAGCACAGGTGTTGCTGATGTGAACACTGACCCATGCAGCAACTTAACACCCTCATTTGAAGCAGAAGGACTAAGAAAACTATGGAGGATTGGAGGGTAGGAGGGTTGTCGACTGCACAGAGACAGCCTTTGAAAGCCAAGGCCAGGAGATGCATTCCCTGTTGGAGCAGCAGGTACACCTGGGAAACTGCACTGCCCTCCCCAGTGCTCGCCCGTGGCCCCAGCCACTCATCCCCATCCCCCTCATCACCTCCCGCACCCGGGGAGGGAGGCCCATGGTAGTAGCGAGAGCAGTGTCCATGGCTGCCAGCTATCCCAGACCTACATTCCATCAGGAACCACTTTAATAATTTAACTCTGAAACATTTAGTTAATGAGCTGCTGTCTCTTAGAGAATAAATCTCACAGCCCTTCCCAATCTTGGATGTGGTGCCACTGTATTACCAAGTGTTTAAGCGCCTGGAGTCTGAAGAGAGGAAGTCATTGCTGTCCATAAAGTGAGAGGGACTGGTACAGAGCTGACCCTGACAGCTTCTTCCATGCCTTGGTTTCTCCATCCCTCCACAGGACACCTGAGGCCCCCGCAGCGCCAGCCCCGTGCAAGGCAGACCTGACCCCACTGTCCCACTCCTGATGCACTTGTAGCTGAAGGGAAGGAAGCCCTGAGGGATGGCCCACAGGACCAAGCTCAAACTGCCCTCAGGCTCTGTGCAAACCAAACAGAATCAGGGTGGTGCCAGCAAAGTGCAGTCAGCACAGAGCAGGTGCTCCTCATGCTGCTCTGAGAGAGTGCTTCCTGGGCCCGAGGAGCCAGCATGGGACCCCCAGCAGCATGGAGAGCTGAGGTCCGAGGGGACGAAATCGGGCCACCTTAGTGAGGTCCTGAAACACTAAGACATGCATACATGGACGCCTCTCCAGTGTTCTTTCCTAATGACAATTAATAAGAGTAACGTGACAAGAGAGATGGGGTTGAGCAGTGCATCCCACAATGGGTGAACCAGGAAGTGCAAAACCCGCAAATCTTACACCCCAAACCATATCAATGGCACCCCTAAGACCACAGCCACCGAGGTGTTCTGTGCACAGCTCCACCCATCTCCCCAGGGTCAAGGCAAAATGAGGGCCAGGCTGGTCTGTTCCCTTGCCTGGCACCCACTGCTGAGCACATCTTGGCCATCCTCCATGTTCCCTGCCAATCCCTGCCCATGAGCTCCCCACAGCTCACAGCTCAGACCTCCCCTCTACAGCTCTTTTATTTCCCAGGGACCGTTCTTTCACATAAGGAAGTACAGTGCCAGGATTAAGACGGTTATTTCAATTCCTATTCAGATGACTGAAGGAACTCAGGGAACAACGGGGCTGGGTCCATCTCTACTAGATCTCCCCCAGCTTCCAGGGCCTGTGTCCCTTCCTGGGATCCCCAAGCTGTCTTCCAGGAAAGAGCTGGAAAACACTCTCCATACAGCTCACAACAAACCACCTGCTGACCCACTCCCGAGAGGATCATGACACTAGGCTAACAGATGCAGACACAAAAGGTTTTACATACATGCACACATGCACCACACACATGTAAACAACCATGCAGAAACCCAATACAGATGCACACACACCATGCATGCACTCATCCATCACATGTGCACGCAAACACACTGTACACACGAACACATTATACACACCATATTACATGTGTGCACATGCGCACACCACAGTATGTACAAAACACATAACACACACCACATATACATACACATCAGGCATGTATAAACATACACATGTGCACACATACACATCACATGCATATAAATACATCACACATGCACACGTATCACACACATACACACCGCATGCATGCATACATATACTGTGCTCTCACATACCCACACCTACATGCATACACCACACATGCACACACACACCCAGAGACCAAGGAACTGGGTAAGAGTGGAGGCAGGGAAGGGGTGAGCCCCTGGTGCACCCACATACCTGCCTCACGTGAGGACTGCTGAAGGCGACACATGGGCAACGAGGACGGAGCGCAAGAGGGGAGCCACACAACGTGAGCTGGCCTGTTCCTAAATCTGAATTGTCCCGGGAGAGTCAGTGCCATGACCCTGCCTTCAACTGAGTCCTGAAGCAGTGTCCACAGCGAGGTGGCAGCCCGGACTGACCCTGTGCAGTGTGAGAGGTCACGAGGCCAAGGCCACCCTGGCTTCACACCCATGGCTGTGTGTATGTGTGCACATGGCTTCACACACATGTGCACACATACACAATACACTGCATGCAGAGTCCACCTCTGTGTCCTCTATGTGCTCCCCCTCGAGCTGCTGGTCACTAGGACTCATGGATCCCCCAAACAGACATGCAGTGTTGTAGAATGATGCTTAATCAGCATGTGAAATTCAGATGAGTTTCCAAATTCAGGCTTTAAACACAGAAAAATCACCTCATACTGTCAGGATGGCTACTTCAAAACAACAGAGAACAAATGTTGGTGAGGAAGTGAAGAAACTGGAGCCCTGGTGCACTTCTGGTGGGAATGTAAAATGGCACAGCCACTGTGGGAAACAGGATAGTGGGTCCTCAAAAAATTAAACCTTGTCCTGGCTGGTGTGGCTCAGTGGACTGAATGCTGGTCTGTGAACCGAAGGGTTGCCGGTTCGATTCCCAGTCAGGACACATGCCTGGGTTGCAGGCCAGGCCCCCAGCTGGGGGCATGTGAGAGGCAACCAATCAATGTATCTCTCGTACATAGGTGTTTCTCTCCCTCTCTTTCTCCCTCCTTTCCCCTTTCTCTAAAAATAAATAAATATAATCTAAAAAAAAAAAAACCTAGAACTGCCACATGATCCATTAATTTCACTTCCAGGTATCTACGCAAGAATTGAAAGTGGGACTCAGATACTTGCACACCCATGTTCATAGCAGCACTATTCACAACAATCAAAATGTGGAAGCCAACCATGTGTCCATGGATGGAGGAATGGATAAATAAAATGGGATCTACTCACACAACAGAATGTTACTGCATTCCTGGAAGGCAAGGGGGCATTGAGTCACATGCCTCAGGTGCCCCCACCTGCCACCCCTCCAAGGTAGCCCAGCCAGCTCCACCACCTCCAACTGGCACTGCGCCCACCACCCAGGGGTGCTGTGAGCCAAAGGGACAGTCACTCAGGGATGCACAAAGCTTCCACTAACAAGAAAGCACCAGCATTTTGGGATCTTTCCATGGCTCATGTCGATGTGACACTACAGACACAGGAGAGGTTGCACATGGAGCAAAGTGAAGGGTCGAGCAGCATCTAGGAGTATCCGATATAGCACTGGAGTGACCTCTTCTAGAACCTTCAGCTTCTGCTGACATGGCCCTCCTGCCAGGATCAATGCCACTGAGTGGACCTTTGCAAGTGGCGGTAAGAACAGACACTGCACTTCCACATGGCAGCACAGGTGATATCTGTCTCCAGGTGTTTGAGTTTCAAAACGCAATAGACCTTGGCCAGGGGAGGTGATATTTCTGAAAAGAGGACCCTGGTTGCCTGCATGGCCAGCCAGGCCCTATACTACATCTACCTGGCTCCCGCTCCATGGCTGTCCCAATGTCACAAGGCCAGGGGGTCATGGCCCTGGTGTGAGCCAGACTCGGGAACTTCAGGAAGTGAGGACACCAGCAGGAGGTGCAGGATACCTACTGGGCTACGGCTCACTTTTCGCACCAAGATCTCCTGGCAACACACTCTAAGCTGACATCTGGAAGAGACCTGAGGCATGGCTAGGATATGTGGTGGTGGTGTGCGCGCGCGTGCGCGCGTGTGTATCTCAAATAAAGTGAGAGTGGACCAATGTGAAGCTCCTTAAGCACAAGACCACATCTTAAGGGACCTGTATTGGTTTCCTATGGCTGCTGTAAAAAAGAATCACAAACTTAGTGGTTTAAAACAACACGCATGTATTAGCGAACAGCTTTGGAGGCCAGAAGTCCAACATGGGATGCACTGGGCAAAAATCTAAGCTGGCTGTGCTCCTTCAGGAAGCTCTAGGGGAGAGCCCATTTT